ATAATAATAATTCATACCTAACTATAGTTAACAAACAAATAATATGCATTAGCATTTTCTAATTGATCAATAGTATAACAGATATTAGTGTTTTAATATAATATATAAAAGCAAAAAGATAAAAAGATAGATATAAACTTACTATAATATGATAAGCTAAGCCACAAAAAAACCTACCAAACTAGTTTAAAAACTCAGACTAGGTTCAAACTAGTTTGAAAATTCAGACTGAACCCAGAGCTAAGCCACAAAAAACTCTATTGGACTAGATTCAAACTAGTTTGAAAATTTAGACCAAATTCAGACCAAACTTATAATTGAGTTTAAGTTTGGTTTGAAGTTTAAAATTAGTAAAATTTGAAGTTTGAGTTTGGTTCGATCCCAGACCAGACCAAACCAGACCAGACCTAGGAGCACTACTTGTTATAATCTTGTTTGAAACCAACTCACCATGCTGGAAAGGATCAGTTACTATTAAATTAATTCTACTTAAGCTTAAAATTAAGTATTAATTGTTTTACTAGAATTTGAGTAAGGTGATCAAGTCGTGGTCAATTATAATTATACTTGTAATTATATTTCAAGACTCTCCAATAGCTTTCTGTAATCATAGTAGTTTGTGTTAATGATATAGCTACAAGATATACTGACCAGGCAAAAAGTTTCTAATCCTTCTTTTTATACTAATTTGCCTATAAGTAACCTCAAAGCTTATCAAGTTTACAATGATGGCAGAATAAATAGACTTTCTCTACACAATTACTATAAATTTTAGCAGAGCTATAAAATATATTCTTGGCTATTGGTATAATAGAATATATATTGGTATACTTTTTATTATATCTAACAAGTCTTTAATAGAATTATCCAAAGCTCTAGTATTTGTATTAGTACCTAGTCTAGATCAACAAATTTAAATTACTAATAGACCTCTGCAGCTTTTGTTTTATTATATCTCTTGCTCATGACTTCTTATCTTACAATTATTAGTTTATTGCATATTTAAGATACCAATAATATAGCTAAATATTGATAATTCAAGACCACATTTTGCTTATAGCTGCAATATCATTGACATCTTTATCAACAAGTGCAAATATTAGATTTAGTCTAATTTTTTGAAGATTACTAAAAAACTCACATAGTACTTGTATTCTTGTATTAATTTTATTTTGTGAATCATAAAGAGCTGATTCATTACCGTCAGATGTTAAAATATAAAGGTATGCTAAGAGCATACTATATCTACCACAATTAGAATTTATAACAAAGAGCTCAAAATGCTTCTGATTGGTTTTAAACGTAGAATCAACTATGATTTTACTTACATTTTTAATACCAATGTGATTGAGCAATAGTGTTGAAAATCTAAAAGCTCTTATGAAATCGTTTTCAAGATAATAGATAGTTCTATATCTTTTTTTATGAATTCTGGCTGTTCTATATATGTTCTTGCTAACAAAACTTGGTTGGTATAATTTTTAATATAGGTTTCTTTATTAAAAAAAGATACTTAGTAGTATACTTGTTCTTTAGTATACATCTGAGATATGCATCTAAGATTGATATATCCTTTATTATATAGATGACTATATTTCATAGTTTTGCAAGTTATATTTAATATTAGATTTAATCTATTCACTAGCTTCAGTAGAAAATTAAACTTTGTAATAAATTAGATTTGGATATGCTTCTAAATACTTTTCTTGGATTAGGATATACTGTTGTTAAGAATTGATTATAAGAAAAATACTCTCTTCACAATCATATCTGTCGATTGGTGCTTGAGTCTCACTTTTCTATTTTACTTGCTGGTCTTCATTTTTTTTAATTATCAGTCTTTCTGTTGTATATACTTAAGATAAACTATTATACAACTAGTAAACCCCTCTTTACTGTAATTTAGATGTACTTTTTGTATTTTTCAGTAATAATTTAATCTAGACTTAATTGCAATAATGATGATTTTTGAAATCTGGTAAAATTATCCTTGATTGATTCTAAATCAAGTGATTCTGATTGAAGATTGAAAGTAATATATCTAGCAAGTTGGGAGTCTAGTTCAATTTCTAATACAAATTTTATAAGATCATTTTCACTTTTCAAATTATAAAATTTTGCAATATATTCTTCAATTTCGTTAATACTATATAGAAACCCACTATCATCATTATCATAGTAGATATTTTCTATATTGCTAGCACTATTTGTTCCTCCAGTGATATCTTTTTCATGATTTTTTAAAATGTTATTATTATTAACATTGCTTAAAATATGTTCTGAAATATCTGTTCTAAGGCCAGTTTTCAAAAGCTTCACTTTTTTACTGATATTGAATTTAAATTTACATCTTTCTTTTTGTTCTTAGTCTTTCAAAGCATTTATTGCAAGTATTATACTCATACTCAGAATCACTTTTATCACATTGAATAAATTCTGATATTTCTTTTGTGATATAATATCTGGTATACTATTGATCAATTAGAAAATGCTAATGCATATTATTTGTTTGTTAACTATAGTTAGGTATGAATTATTATTAT